ATAATCTAAAAACCTGAAATTTTGCACCCATACTAAGTGGACCTTGAGGATTTGCACCTGGGTATCATTATTTATCTATGTGCGTGCGCGCATGCGCATCTTTTTATGCGAAAAACCACATAGAAAAGAAATGTGACCGCCATAGCTTCAAGAGGAAAGAACCTAGAAACTTAAAAATTTTGCACCCATACTAAGAGGGTCTACACCTTTTTATTATCACTTATTTTATCCACGTACGTGCGCGCATGTGCACCTTTTTAATGAGGCATGCTAGCGAAAACCACATAGAAAAGAAGCGGTTCGTTATATAACAACTTCGAATATATATAAAAACCATGTTGCTTAGGAATAAAGTCTAGCCTAATATTGTTGTTAAGAGAGTATGTGCTAAAAGTTTAAAATGAAATGTATAAACTACAAAATTGAGAAAAAAATATAATTTGTTGTTTTCTAATTTATCGGCTCCGTTAATTTAACGAGGTTTGTTTTTTAATTATATGTTTTTATTATTTAAGTTCAAATGGGAGGATAAGTCAGAAGGAAGGTTACCTTTATAAACAGGCCACATCCCATAAAGGAGCAACAAAAGTATATAGGTTATAGTTTTATGTTAAAATGGGTTAAGAATACATACACTGACATGGTCATCTAGAATACATCAACCTAATAACCCGAGCGAAGCCAATTCCTTTGGCTAGTCATTAAATATAATGTGGCCCTTAAAACTTGATAAAACAAGGTGGAGCTTGTACACGTGATAAAAGTAGAGCTTAGTCACAAGACTAAATAAAATGGAACTGAAATAAATGGTGAGACATAGTGACACTTAATTTTAGGGTGAAATTTAATGAGAATTATGTAAATAGTAAAGTGTAATGAAGATTTATCTCATGAAGGAACATATTGTGGCATTATTACATCAAGTAAACACGGAGGGATTAGAAATATACGACAATATTTTATAATACATGAACAAATACAGTAGGGATTAAAACACCGTAAAACATAACGTGACAGAAGCTAGAAACATGGACGAGGTTAGATCACGTGACACAAGAGAACGGTTGTATACTTGAACAGTTACACTCTGTTTTAGAAGTTTCGCTTGAAGCTATACGACCGTTCCTTATTTTTAAGTGATGGACTAGAGAGAGAAGACAGTAACGCAACAGCAACTACCGCCAACTCTCGGGCTACTCTTGTTTGACCGAATAGATGAATTTTACATTCAGTGTTATGGAATACACACGGCTCCTCCGTGCGGAGCACGTGTTTGAGCAACGGAACACGAAAAACGGATCCTCTGATTCACAGTACGGGCACGCTACCCAATTGGCCACTCTCGGTCCACCATAGTTGAGAAGTTAATAAATGAAGAAACTATGTTTCAAGCACACGATAATTCTCAATACGCATAATACGAATGCTGAAACACTGTAGTTGTTGAATATACAACAAAACAATATTATTTATAAATTATAGAAGGCCGTGGTGGTGGTGTGTGTGTGTGTATGGGGTGGGTATTAGTGTACCGGGCTGCATAGTAGAAGGCCTAAAGTCTTAGCGTCGATGCCGCACTTTTAGCTGAGGGTGTGTCATAAAAGTGACAGTAAATTCTATCATTTGGCTCAAAGTTCTTGTGACGACGGTTCGTTGTATCTCAAAATTAGTGACGGATAAACGTGAATCTTAGGAGTCTCTGACATGGCCGTTTATTCTATGAGCCCATAAGGTACTTTCAGGTTTCAAATACCAATATCGCTCGCTTCAGCTGCTTAAACATTAGCGAATTAAAACTAATGCTTTAATTTTGTTTGTTTGTTTGTAATTAAGCACAAAGCTACACAATGGGCTATCTGTGCTCTGCCCACCACGGGTATCGAAACCCGGATTCTAGCGTTGTAAGTCCGCAGACATATCGCTGTGCCACTGGGGGGCAATGCTTTAATAATGGCATTTAAGATTTATATTTATATATATTTGAAAGAACCTCTGGCGCACTCTGTTAACTGTTATTTAATATTATTTATCTTAAAATATGCTAGGTTTTTCTTTTATAACATTTCCGACTCTTTGAAAATTGTCAAAGAAATACTGAGAAATTAAACAACATTTACTTTCGTCATTGTATTGTAAGAAATATTTTAACGACGTTATTTCTTACCTATGTTAAAATATACTAGTTTTGGCCTTACAATATTCGTTCTATTATGAAAGGAACGCAGAAAAATTAGTGAGCATTTATTTTCCCATATATATTGTTAATTAACTGATGCTATCTAAATTTTACTTCTTTTTAAAAGCATGTCAGCTCTTCCACTGTTTATGATAAGTGTGCTCCTGTCTCTGGAACGGAATCTGTTACCATGAAAACGAATCAACAGAATATTTTCATAGTCCAGTTGTACAAACCAGAGCCAAACGCTTCCCTTGGATTTAGTGTCGTGGGACTTCGTAGCGAGGGAAGAGGAGAAATTGGCTTATTCGTTCAGGCAGTTTTGGATACTGGAATGGCTGGCAGGTAAAATATATAAATGTAGAGCTTTTAAAGTAGCTAGATAAACATATAATGTGTAAGATACATTTGGTCTAAAGTATCTTGATTTCACGTCATTTTCAAATTAATGTATTTTATACAACAAGAACAATGGAAGTTTCTAGTAGTATTCAGCTTTATTAAAATACCGCTCCTATGTAAGTTTAAATTATTTAATTAACGTAGTTTTGATGATTAACTCATCATAAGCTAATGAATTATCAACACAACAAAAGTAGGAATGCCTTTTCATTTCATCATTTGTAGGAATATTTCAGTTTTCTTTTATATTTATTGAATTTTGATGCGGTAATCAGATGCTTATTTGGATCCCGACATATTCAAATACCCATTAAAGGCTTGCTCTATAAGCTTGATAGTACATTAGTTTTTATCGTCATAAGAATGATAATTTATCTTAATGAGATATCAGTTACTTGGAATACCTCGTCAGTCTTAGACAGAATGAAGAAGATTCTTGTAATGGCTGAACGAGTGGCTCCAGCGAACACATATAGCTGATACTTAATCGTTATCATTAAATAGAAATTCCAGAACAAAAGAAAGTAAGTACTACCTGGAACTTTGAACAAACAGGCACACTTGGTTGTTACTAAAAGCGGAAAGATAAACAAACTAGTTTTCTAAGACCTTTCCTCTCAAGATCTTGATCGACACGGAATAGACTATTGTGTCATAGGCGTGTAGAAACGTAACATGATCTAACGGGTAAACAGTAGAAACGTAACATGGTCTAACGGGTAAACATTTCGTACTGATTTGACAAAAATTAGGCTTCACAAGTCACGGCTAAGGAAGAGATCAAAACAACTTCATTGAAGCCAGGAGGTTAGTGTGACGTGCTTACCCACACTTGATGGACAACTTTCCTTTTTTTACAGTCAATTCGTCATCTGAAAATCATAAAATCTGCTATTATCAGCTCCTCTTTCTGCTGCTACCCGAACATTGTGGCGTGCTGCGATTAACGGATCTTACATTATGCTGTTAACAGTTCCAGTTTTTGTCACAACTTTGACAGGGTGGTATACCGCGATTAACGGATTTTACATTCTGTTGTTATCAGTATTACTTTTTGAATGTCCTTTTATAGAGTGTCATGCTACGATAAAAGGATCTTACATTCTGCTGTTATCAGTTCCAGTTATTGAATCTACTTTTATAGAGTGTCATGCTACGATAAAAGGATCTTACATTCTGCTGTTGTCAGTTCCAGTTTTTGAATCTACTTTTATAGAGTGTCATGCTACAATAAAAGGATCTTACATTCTGTTGTTATCAGTACCACGTATTGCCTCTATTTTACCATGTTACATATTACAATAAAAGAATCTTACACTCTGTTGTTATCAGTAATTGATCTTATATTCTTCGATTATCAATATCACTTTTTTGCCTCTACTTTTACAGGGTGCCATGCTACGATTAACGGATCTTACATTCTGTTGTTATCAGTTCCAGTTTTTGCCTCTACTTTTACAGGGTACCATGCTGCAATTAACGGATCTTATAATCTTCTATTATCAGTACCATGTTCCACAACCACCTTTATATTATGTCGCGGCACGATTAACTAATCATAAGCTCCACTGTTATAAGTACCAATTTCTACTATATATTGCTTTTACAACATAGTATACTAACAGTATCTTATATTGTGGTACTATCAGTATCATGTTCTACTGCCACCTTTAAAGGATGGCATGGCACGATTAACTGTCTCTCTGTTCGATTCATTCTGCCAATCTGTTTGATTTCATCCGACTGTGTCTCTGTCTGTCTCTCTCCGAACATTTATTAGTGAAATTGTTTCTGTATTTTTTGCCACTTTAATCTTGACGCACTGTGTTTTTGACTATATATATATATGTGTATTTTATTATTACGGATCGTCAGTCTGTGTCGTTTATTTTGAGTTCGCGGGTCGTCCTATTTTTTTATTCAGTCTGATTGTTTCACTACCTATTCTATTAAGTATGTCTATCTAACCATCAGTTTTATTCTACCTCATTATATCTGATTCTTCTATCTAATTCATTCTTGCTAACTCTCTTTATAGCTGTTTGATTTTTTTACTGTATATCTGTCAAATACTATTTTTATTAACTGTATATGATTGACTTTGATGGACTCTTGACCGTTTTTTTCCGTATGCTTGAATGTCAATATTTTTATGGCTGTTTGATTTTGAGTGCTGACGTTTTTTCCATCTGTTTTAACTGTTTATGAGTGACTTTGTTTTACTCTTGATTGTTGATTTTCCCCGTAGGCTTGAATGTCACTATTTTTCTATATGGCTCTTTGATTTTGAGTGCTGGCTGTTTTTTTTCGCCTATTTGATTTTTATTGATTATATTTATGAATGGTTTATGACTTTTATCTGGCTGTTCTATTCTTATTGGCTGTATTCTGGTTACTTGTGTTTAATTGTTTATCTGCCTGTTCTATTCTTACTGGCTGTATCGGTTGTTTTTGTTTAATTGTTCTATTCTTACTGAACTTAAAGCTTTTCTTGAACTATTCGCCGTTTTTTTATGAGTGTTTAGTTCTTACTGATTGTCTTAATTGATTTCTAGTTTTTACCCCTCTGTTGAATCTGATTTTATGTTTACTTATTTGTTCACCTTAAAATTTGACAAATATATTTCATTCATAGACTTCTGTAATTAAACTTAATCTATTGGTAAAATAAGTTCCCTCTCAATCGATAGTTGCTATTGAAGGAATTTCTCAAAGCTAGAGCTGACATATTTTTTATGCATTGATAATTTATTATATTTGTTTCATAATTTATCTAAATTAAATGAATTTTAATGGCAAAAATAATGTTGTCCCTAATTGCTGAAATTAGATATTGTGTCGTCATCTTAACGTACCCTCGGCACGACTGAAGGTTAATATTAACGGAGAGCACGAATACATTTGGAAAGAGTGTAAGCGTAATTAAAAACTGAAAGCTTATGAAACTACCATGACATTTCAAAATGTTTCTGTATTTACAGGTATAGAACACACACATTTACAATGAGGCTGCCCTGTCCACGACAAAGATTAATTCCGGTAATTGTGGTGTAATATAATAAATTATACATAGTGCAATTAAAACAAAATACGGTGGTTTGTTTTCTTATTTAATTCTCCAGGCCTTTGATTACTATATAAAACATTTTGTTGACAAACTTATCGAGACGCTGTCCACTCCAGCCAAATGAAGCTGTTAAAGAAAGCACACCAAAACTACAGATAAACAAATATATTAAAATAGTGGTTAATCGAATTATTAAAATCCGTTTGTATTTATACGGTATGAATGATTATAAATGTGTTGTTAGTTACCATAAAAAAGTGGAGTTCGAGAAGACCTATAAACAGACTTTTCAGATAACTTGAGTGTTAAGCAACAAAGAAATGCTGAGTGCTTCTAAATCATTTAGTTATAGGCTATTAAACTGCAATAGTAATGGATTTATGTTTCATTTGCTGTATTCTTTTAAAAGTATTACACGCAATAATAAAACCTGAAAAGTTAGTTGCTTCACCAGGCACTATCGGCCTACTTGTTCTAATGAGAGGTGACAGTGCTCGAAATTGTAGTCCTCGCTAATCATTACTGACTTTGGTCTAATGAGAGGTGACAGTGCTCGAAATTGTAGTCCTTGCTAATCATTACTGACTTTGGTCTAATGAGAGATGACAGTGCTCGAAACTGTAGTCCTCGCTAATCATTACTGACTTTGGTCTAATGAGAGGTGACAATGCTCGAAACTGTAGTCCTCGCTAATCATTACTGACTTTGGTCTAATGAGAGGTGACAGTGCTCGAAACTGTAGTCCTCGCTAACCATTACTGACTTTGGTCTAATGAGAGGTGACAGTGCTCGAAACTGTAGTCCTCGCTAATCATTACTGACTGTTGTTTGTTTACTTCAGTGGATATACTGTCATTTGTTTCTTGTGAATTTTATAGTATATTTCATATGAAAAAAAGAGTGGGCGTGTTAGGTACAAAGAGTTTTGAATAAAATATTGTTTTAATATGTTAACTATTACAGCATATTAAAATGAGCTTATACTTTTTCTTGTTATTAATTATTAAACAGTCACAAATAGTAAGACAAAATATCTGCACTTTTCTGTTTTTCGTTGAAGGAACACTCTCTCCTAAAGTAGGGTTTAAAATCACGTATAAAGGTGTTAAAATGTGTTACTTGTTACAAACACCTTTTAATCAGAAGAGTGCTCATAAAGTGATTCAGAAATATTTATGATACTGTAAAAAATGCTCTGTAAACTAAGAAACATGGAAAAGAAGTCAGCGTTTTAAGTAAGAAGCCAGACTGTTTCACTTAGTTTAAAATTTATTATTAGTAGTGGTCTCAACATGACGTTTCATCTGTTGAAATCTTGTCCTATACATTTTTTATATTCTTATAAAATAGTGTTAGTGTCTTTCTTGCATTCTTGATAATATTTAGAGTGGATAGAGTTAATTACGTTCTGCTTTTAAAAAGCTCTTCTTACTTTTTGTTCTTGTTGATAAACGTTTTTTTAGCAAAAACAGCAATCAGATGATCGAAACGCCACAACTAATTTTGCCTAAACAGTGGTTATCATATCATTAATACTCAACCCATAAAATATTGACCACTTAATCAAAAATATTAATCTATATTAAATTAACACAAATCTTGATGAAAATGAAGAACGTTATTGTGCTATTTTTTATTAAATATTTTTATCGTGAATAATTATAACAGTAAAAACCTGTTGAGAATATACATGAAAGAAACACGTGGAAACAGAAGATTGTTACAGGCGAAACACAGGTACATCTTATTATAAGTTCAATGTTAATACGTATTATAAAGTTCGATTTCATTAATATGCAAATATTCCTTTAAATTATTCGATGTATTTTACTTGAAAATAGGTAGGAACTTAGTTATTGTTGTTTTCCTTAATTGTTAAACGTCACAAATAATTAAATTCATGATGTAATTTTAAGAATTTTTATTGCAGCTGAACTATCTATTAACAATCAGTAGTTTCTTTTCTTGAACTATAGATAAATAAAATCATAATATATCTATATAAATATAATACTGTTGTCTGTTGTATGTCCATGTAACTACAGAGTGTGGATTTATTTTCACCAAAATTGATATGGAGGTTCACTAGGTCCATGGGGAGATACACATAAATTTCCAGTTTTGCGTTTTGCGGTTTTTATGGCCATTTTTGCGTTTTTTACTACTACTTCGCCCTCTGTTGATGGAGCTTCACCAGCTTTGGTATGGAGGCTCATTCGGTCCCTGGGAAGATACTTACAAATTTTCAATTTTGCATTTTGCGGTTTTTATGAACGTTTTTGCGTTTTTTACCACTACTTCACCCCCTGTGTATAAATCTTCACCAAATTTGTCATGAGGATTTGTTGGGCCCATGCAGATATACGTGCAAAGCTGCGGTTTCACATTTTATGTTTTGCAGTTTTTATGGGCGTTTTTGCGTTTTTTGCAATAGCATATAAGGAAAGCTACTTTTCATGTCCTAAGATAACCTTTCATTAATCATGAATTTACATAACTTCCGTCCAGGGGACTGGTACTCCAGCTAGTATTTTAATATTCAGCCATTACAAATTAACAATCTTTGGAAGTACAGAATTCGCGCTTTTATTTAATTACATTGTTTAATTATTATTTTTCTAACCATACATGAACTTTGTCAACATTAACCAATTACGTTGTCAATACATCCATTTATGACATATAGTATTTTTATTACAAATTAAGATATTTTATTTTACTTTTAGATTATCTGTAGTGGCAACGTGGTGTCACCAGTGAAACGTTAATCAATTAGCGTTTTTCAACATGCTGTTAGAAATGTATTTGCTGTCTTTACCTATCATGCATAGCGTGGTATCGCATATCTGCATGGTGTTGCCATTGATGCTTATGTAAGAAATGCGGGCTTTGCTTTTTCTATTTTCATTCATACATGATATCACATTACTGATTGTACCAAAACATTAACTTAGTGTCTAATTAGGACATGATACCTTATTAACAATGTATTATTTTATTTTTGCTGCATACCCATTAAGTAGCAACCTCGGTACCCTTAAGATGCTTTGAATTAATATCAGTATATCTATGGCTACTGCTAACGTTAGGCCTACATTGTACATTATGCCACGTGTTACATTGTTGTATTTGTAAATTGTAATTTCTAAACTTGTATTTGGCCAAACTGAACAGTTGACAGAAACATGAAATACATTATATTTTCTTACAATAATTCAAATAACAGAAAGAAACCCACACAGTTTTACCTTAGGCCTCGTGTTATCTAACTGACGTCAGCGGTCCGGAGAAGAAGCGACGTTACGCTAAACTTGATGGTAAAGGCAGCAAAACGTTATTGTAGTAACGTGACGTTTAAGAACTGGTGTAAAAACATAACCTGAGTAGGTTGGTAGAATAATGATTAAAATCTGTTAAACAACGCCAGGAACGGTTTAGGTTTTGTTGATCCTTGTTTGTGAAGTGAATAAGACGAATTCAAAACAGCTAATTTAAATTAACATATACATTTAAATAATAAACACATGCATATATATATATATACTATATGGCCGTATTTAGTGTATGTATATATATATATATGCATGTAATGTGATTACATGGTTCCATTGCCCGTTTTGTTTATAAAATACAGTAGGGGGGAGGGGGTCATGCGCACCTTAGTGCCAAGTATATGCATATTGTGAATCATCCGAGGATTCATGTTTTGCGATCTGTTGCCACAGAAACGTGCGCCACAAATCAAGCCATAGGTGTGCAATAAGTGTGACGGTTAACTCCCATTATTCAATAACACCCGCGTAGCCAAATAGGTGATGTTGGATGCTGTTAACTAGCTGCCTTCCTTCAAGTTTATCATCTGAAAATTAGGGTAAACTATGTACAGATAACTCTTATGTAGCTCATATAAAAGTCAGCAGGCTGGAGTCAAATTACCACAAAGAATACCGCAAACCTTCGAATTGAAAGGAATACTAAACACAACGTTGGTTGGTGGTCAGAGTGTCCAAAAATTTCAGCTCATCTATTTCTACTTAAGTCCACTGTGAGTAAAGTACTGTAGATATGAAAGTTTGATTTGATTTGAATTTCTCACAAAGCTACACGAAGGCTATCTACCATAGCAGACCCAAATTTAGTAGTGACAGACTAGAGGGTAGGCAGCTTGTAAACACCACCCACTATCAACTCTTGGGCTATTTTTTTACCAACGAATAGTGGGAATGGCTGCGACCCTCAGACTGCGAGTCGATCGCCCTAATCACTCTGCCCAGAAATGAAATACCACTTGATTTACTAACGTGATGTATCCAACTCAAAATTAATCACTACGTAATTCGTGTGAACTTAAATATGTAAAGTGAAGTGAATCCACACGTCTGTCAATAAATCCACTGTGCAGGAGTTTCATGAACGTTTGTTAGTAGGTCCACTATGAGTAGTGAGTTACGCACTGCCAGATCTCACACATATGACTGCAGCCAGTAAGCCACTAACCACAGCTGAGAAAATAAAGTGTCGTCTCTCATGGTAAATAAAAAGCGAATTCATTAATTTGGTTATCGAAGTATGTGTTAAATGCGAATATGTAACATTATCAATCACCTCTAAACAAACTATAGTATTTAATACGAACAAGATGGATTCATCAATAGCCGCGGCATTTGACAATCTTTTAGGCAGGATTAGAGTACATTAATTTGTAAAACCTTGGGCGTGGTCAAATACATCAATCAATAGTATTTGACCTCCTGAGTCCAAAACTGTACTTAGATCTCAAATCGGTCAAGAGATGACGGAGCTATGAGCTAAAAGTTTGTACTTGAAAAATAAACTCGGAGCCATTCTATGAGCCGCTATACCGTGGCTAAAAATATGGAACTTATATTAAATATTCGAAAGAGCAACCCCACAAACGTATTTGGTACCAAGATGTAGTCTCAGTGTTAAAATAATAAACATAGTTATCATA